GATGGATGGATGGATGGATGGATGGACAGATGGACGGATGGATGAATGGACAAATGAATGAATGGCTGGACAGCTGGATGGATTTGCAGAACACTAGATGTACAACCAGATGGATGGATGGTGTGGATGGAATGAGAGTGGGGTGGGTGGATGGAATGAGAGTGGGGTGGGTGGATGAAATGAGAGTGGGGTGGGTGGATGAAATGAGTGAATGGATGGATGGATGGATGGGTGAATAACTATACTTACTTTGCAATGCAACTATCACTACAATACACTGAATTATGTTCGGCATGGTTCTGACAACCAGTATTAATACATTTTCTCTGGGCCTTGCTGGCAAATGATGCTGGGGTGGGTGTTGTGCGCACCTGAATAAACAAATAATCAATAAAAAGTAATTATAAAGTGGTGGTATCTCAGTTTATCAAACTACATTTTGGTACCTTGCCCGGTGTCTATTCAATAAAGGTATCAAATTAATGAAGGTATCAACTAAATAAAGGTGTCCACTTATAGAATAATGGCTTTAAGAGTAACTGTAATAATGATTTTACAGAAAATATGGAAGAAATTTTTGGACTGTGCAACTAGCTGTCTGTATTGAAAGGGCTCTGCTTACTGCACAACGCACAAAAGCATGACCAAATTGGCATACTTTTGTGCACAGGGTTTTTGCCAAATGAGCTTTCACACAACTTATTTGGTAAAACCAGCAGCTTTGCATCAAAATGTGTGCATATTTTTGCACGTTGCACCGTAATAGAGGAATCACTGTAAATCACTGCCAGACAATATGATTAAGAAAGTTTCAGAATCACTGAAAAAGCAAGCCCTTTATATTAACAATAGAACGGCAAAATTGCAGTAGGCAATTCAAAAAGAAGCCAAAGTGAAAAAATTAACAAAAAAATTGCTGGGACCAAATAGCATACCTTTTTAGGTATTTTGTATGATGAAGGATCAGAATTTCTTCTCCTGATGTCACTGCTGTGGTCCTTGTGTCCTGAATCTTTACTTCGCTTTTCTTGTCCTTTGCTTTCACTCTTCCTAGTCTGAAGTGAAAAAAATAATTCTAAATTTTTTAAACAAATAGTTAACAAAGCTGAATAATAATAATAATAATAATAAATAATAATAGTAAATAATAATAATAATAATAACAACAATAATAATAGTAATAATAATAATAACAATAATAACAACAATAATAANNNNTAATAATAATAATAACAATAATAACAATAATAACAACAATAATAATAGTAATAATAATAATAATAATAATAAATGTACAAATAAAGTGCGGACTGAAAGGGAAGCAGGAGCCAGGGAGACTAATATTTTGAATTTCCATTTTTTATACTAAAATGCCTAGTATGATTATATGATTATAATAATTATATAAAGCCCAGTTCCTAATAAATAATAATGAAATTCTGGTAAAAGTCAAATTTGCTATGCTAATGTATAACAATCACACCAAATTGTGGTCAGCTATTGATCTCATTTTGAATGCTCACACATTTTCATTTTGCCCCCCTCCCCCCTCCCCTCCCCCACTAAAACATTATGCTCCTATGTCCCTGGCTGTGAATAGACTTAGCTTGGGCTTAATGTTTCCCCATTTCAGACCATGTTAATTTATTTTTAATTTTCATTTTATGATAAAATAATAATATTCCCTAGAGTATTATTTCTTTGTTTCACAGTTGCGCACTAGAATACACATGAATCGATACAACTCAAACAAAGAATCTTATTCTCAAGAGAATGATACGTTGTCGAAGGGAAAACATTATGCCCAAGAAAAAGAGGTCAATAAACACTATCAGCTGTGATTTATTGCATTTATGTTTTTAGCTTGGAAAATAAATAGTTTGCCTTTTCGTGTTGAATTTTTACTAACATTATTTATCAGATATAAGAATATTTCTTAAGTTCTTAGGTACTAACCTTGCTTGCAGAGTCAGTAGAATGTCTGTGATGTCGTTTTTCACCTGGTTCTCTAGGCATCTTCAGTCTTCTGTGTCTTCTTGGTCTTTTTGGAGTATTGGAGCTATCGTCTGTTGCCTTGGAAGAGTTGTCGACTGCATTACCACCTTGTGCTTTTAATTTCTTTTTGGCTAAAACATTAAAAAATAAGTTAGAATTTAAAAAAAAACATTATTTAAAACAGAAAAAAGAGTTTGTGAAACTTAAAAACCTTCACATTTTTGATACCCTGAAACGATCTCTGATCAAAGTCATGGCAAGGCTAACTCACAGATCGAATTCGAATTATTTTTTAGCATTTTCGATGTTGCTAAAGGAGGAGAACTGGAGAAGCAAGAAAAAAACTTTTGAATCAAGAAAGGGACTTGACAAACTCTAACAGGTGCAATGAAAAACTTTGAAATTAACATCTTGTACTCATCAATTCTCATGGAATTTCAAATGCCTCCACTCGGATTTTGAAACCTCAATAGAATACAGCAACTCATAATTGAAACATTACTTATTGTTAATACTAGATATTGTAGTAAACAATTTGATTGGAAAACAATGTGAATGAGAATAACAAGGGGGAAAAATGGTGGATTTCAAACAAATAATTACCCCAAAACAATAATAACAAAATAAAGTTGATAATTACTAAAGAATAAAAAAATTACTAACATTCCTTAGTATTATTTTCACATCTATTTATTGCCAATCTTATTATAATTATATTGCTTTTCAGTAAAAGCTCTTTTGAATAATATACACTTAATTAGTTTATAAATATACATAGCAAAGAACTTTTGCAATTGTATTTTGAGAGCTAGCACAAGTAATGTGTAGAATATTTAAATAAAACCAAGCTATGTATATTGTACTTGCAAAAAGAACTAATCAAAAAAAAAAATGAAATCCATGTTTAAAAAAGCTTTCCTTCATGGGCTGAGGAATGCTTAAATAAAAAACATAGACTATTATTAATTATTGTCAAATGACAGTACTAGTATCTAGCAGAAACCATAAATGAAATAAAAAATTTGCTTTGCAAATTGCTAACTTGAAATATTTCAAAATGGTATCTTGAAGTTTGGTTATCTATGCTTTGTGAAATTCAGCAATAAACAATGTCTTACCTATAACACATCTTGGGCAGACATATTCTATTCCATTCTTCTCCATTTCTTTTCCTATTTCTTTGGTAATAGACACACAATCTCCATGCAACCATTCTTCACAGTTATCACAACAGATCATGAATCTGGACATTTTCAAAAAAATATAAACAAGAATTTAACTTTTTAACTCAGTTTTCAAAAATTAAAGGTTTGAGCTTGAGGTTTGATGGTTTAGGCTTGAGGATAATATTGTGCAGGTCTAGGAACTACAGCTAGCACTATCCTCTTGCAAGCTGCAAACTTCCAAACACCAGCCTCTGTGGGCTTCCTGTGGTAGATGGTGCAAACCACAGGAAGCCCAAGACAAGTGTGACCAGGCCCTTCACTATCATGTAAAAATGTATAAAATTGGTTATTAGCTTATTTTAACTTGTGGCCCTCTAAGTGTACTATTTCTTAATAAGATGGTAAAGCTGCTACTTTATACATTGTCATTTGAGCCACAGCGAAGGTCTAACCATTTGGTAATGTTTTTAGAGAGTGTTGTTCCGGCCGTGGAGGCTTGAACCCACAACATCCGGCACAACAGACCGGTGCCCAACCAACTGAGCCAACTGGAAGGCAAATGAACCATCATCATCGAAGGTATCTTTAAAATGGGGTTTGTCCATAACCCATTATTACATGTAAATAAAATATGATACACTTACCTATTCCCGTGAGGCTTTCGGCAAATACACCACAGTCTCTCGGGGTCATACTCTGGGTCGTAATCAGAATCTTCCTCCATAAACTCCTCTCCTGAATCATTTGCCTCTTCATCAGATGATGTAACACTTTCTTTAGATTCTTTCGACTTAGTTGTTGCTTCACCACTGTCGTCATCAGTATGGCTTCCATCCTTGCTATGTTCACTTGTCCTCGACCTTTTAACTTTAGAAGGTTTCTCCTCCTCAGATGGATGTCTTTTATGCTTGACTTTTGAATAAACTTCGTGGTCTATTCCTACAGCAAACAGTGGCATTCCTTCTTGCTTTTCATCACTGCTTTCTTTTTCTGCATGTTGTTTCTTGTGATGGGTGGGGCTATGTGGAACCTTTTCATCAGTTGACTTTATATGTCCTTTTTCAAGCTTTTCTTTAGATTTGTGATCGGTAGGCTTGTCCTTTATTTTATGGTGCTCCTCTGTGATCTTATTAGCTTCCTTCTTGTACTTGTCCTTTTCTTTTTCTTTACCAATATCTTTCTTAATCCCTGTCTCTTTGCTATCTTCCTCTTGTTCTTTTTCTTTTTCTTTCTTTTCCTCTTCTTCTTTCATCTTTCTTTCATTTTCTTCCCTTTGTTTTTCTTCCTCTTCCTTTCTCTTCCTCTCATCCTCTTCTCTTTTCTTTCTTTCTTCTTCTTCTCTCTCTTTCCTTTCCTGTTCTTCAATTTCTTTTAACATTTCCTCTTGAGCTTTCTTAACAGCTGCTTCAATTTCACGTTTTTGAATGCTCTCACTGATGCGATTGCTTCTTCTTGATGGTGTTAATTCCTTTTTTGATACCCTCTTCTTCTCTGGTTTCTTCTTTTGTAGCTCTTTTTCTTCCTTTCCTTCCTCAGAGGAATCCTTGGTCTCTTCCACGGGTGCTACCGCTTCTGTTGCAGTATTTTCTTCCTCTCTGACAGAAGTACTATTCTCAGTGTTGTTTGAGGGATTACAAATTTCTTTATCTAAGACAAGAATTTCTGTCAGAATTTGTTTAACCTCATCATTCATGGGTTTAAGTTTTTGCACATCATTTGACAGACTTTGCTGATAAATTTTCTCCTCTTTTTCTTCTTCCTTAATAGTGGCTTCCTTCTCTTCCTTTGGAGCCTTGTCATCTTTTTCAGCACTTCCTTCCAGTTCTACTTCTTCTTCTTCTTTTACTTCAGAAGCTGTACTATCTTGTACATCAGATGGTTTATCAGTAGCTGGTTTTTCAGCACTTTCTTCATCCTTTTCCTCCTTTTTCTCATCAGCTGTTTCTATCTGTTCTTCTTCAGCAGCTGTGGTGGCCTTCTTGTTTCCACCCCTTCCCTTTCTTGGTGACTGTACAACTGATTGGGCTGGGCTGGTGTCTTTTCTTTGGATCCTAGTTGACCTATTTATTCATGGTAATAGAAAAGCAATACTATAGGAAACCTCATGTTTAATGGTTCTTTTTGGATATAACAATACCAAGTCTTTGACTGTAGCCAAAGTCCATTCAGTGACCAAAAACAATAGTTCCTAGTCGAGGCTGGAGTTACCGCGCATGTTAAACTGTAGTTTTGCTATGCGCGGAAACTCCAGCCTTGACTTGGAACTATTATTTGTGGTCACTGAATGGAACTGTAAAAGGGAGTATTGGGGAGCAATAAACCTTATTCTTTGTGTGACAATGTTTTCCCAATTGAATGTGACAAACTTCCAGGGGAATAAACAGCTATTGGTTTGAAACTCATAGGGATATCATCGTTATTCCTTTCATATCCTTTGGGATACTCATGAATCTTTGAAAGAGTAAAGACAAAAGAAAATGAATCCYHTGGAGGTTWGWMAMGMTGAATTGGGAAAACATTGTCACACCATGAATAAGGTCTATTTAATCAAAAACAAACAGACCATAGAGAAATGGTTCAGATGGGGTCGGAATTCCCCCCCCCCCCCCCCACTCTCCTGGTAAAATAAAATCACATGGCTTCTCATCAACCAAATCCCATTTTTAACTAGCTTCTTCTTGTGATTGTCCCACAATGTGATACAACTAAAGCTTAATAGATTTAGATTTTAAACGGCTAACTCAAGCCACAAAAAAGGGTGATATACAGTTCTAGGTCTCTAGGGGAATTCCACAGGAAACCCACCTTTCTAAAAATATTTTGTGTCTGTTTGCTGGCTCAACAATTCCCTGACCTTTGGATCATTTTTTAATATTTTCCCTGTGGTTTGAAGACCCCAGAGGTGATTGACCTAATGCTGGTCTACCCTAGATTCCCCAACAACTGCTTACAAAAAATACATCTGCAGCTCCATTCATGTGCCAAACGTAATCGATGAATTAAGTACGGCAAAAGAGCAGCATATGAACCATTTTGTCCAGAAGTTTTGATTTGGTACAGCAAACTGATAAAGTTTGACAGAGCTTGCTGCATTACAAGGCACTTTTCTCATCTGCTGAATCAAATGCATAATTTATGCATAACATAATCATAAAGTCCATTCCACTCACAAACCCCATTTCTGACGTTAATATACAATTTAGTCCAACATATTCTTCGATTGCATGTTGTATCATCGTGGCCTCTCGGGGGATCGTTGGTGCCATTTAACAAAAGATTTCTTATTAGTATCCATTGTTAACGGCACCACAATGGCTACCATGTTTTTGACTTTTACTTTTATATGGAATGGGCTCCGATTTAAAATTTTTTGGACTCACCTTCGAAGGCTCCTTCTTTCTTCTTTCTTGTCATCCTCTTTTTTGGAATTTTCAGATTCAAGAGTTGGGGTTTCATTTTTTCGTTTTCCACCTCTTCCATCCTTTCCGTCCTTTCCCGCCTGTGTGCTATTGTCTTTCTCCATTTGCTGCTGCTTTTGTGATCCCCTCGGGCTTTTTCTCCTGTCTGCGTCTGAAGGAGACTCTTTCTTTGCCCGCAGTCTAGTGTTCCTTACTGGACTAGTTTCAATTTCCTGACCTTTAATTGGTTTACGAGGGGAACTTCGCAAACTGTAGCTAGATCTGACATTCCCAGACTTCTTATTCTCCTTACTGTCTTTGACTTCTGGGCCATTTTCTTTTGTCGTATCCTTGTCATCTTTCTCTTTTACCTCTTCACTTTTTGTTTCCTCATCTTTTTTATTTTGCTTTGCTGAAGCTGTTGTGACGACTCCCGCCGAGCTAGACACAACAGTAGTAGACGTACTCATAACAACTTGTTTAGACTTTTCTTTCTCGTTAAGATTTCCAAGCAAAGGATTCATTCCTTCGGATATTTCATCTTGAGAATTCAACATTGGATCATTTCCGTGCTTGAGAGGCGATGAATACTGGCCCAAAACATTCAGCACTGGATCAGAATAGCTCAACACCTCTGACTCCGCACACAGTGTACTACACGTGCTAATAAGTAAATTTGTTTGCTCCGGCGAGAGAACTTCGGTTATACGTTTAAAAGCGTCATGAGGCAGAAAATTATCCCCCAGGACATCTAAATCACTGGTTTGTCCACTCAACTCTCGCACCTGATCATCGGTAAAGACAGGACTGATTGACGGAGTGATGTCTCGCAGATCGACAGTGTGAGCGTCGCTTGGAAGAGGACAAATATTCCAAACACTTGATCCAGTCCTGGAATCGTTTTCGTTTCGTTCATTTGATCCTGAGTTAGTTTTCAGTGTCTCTGCTTTGCTGATGCTTTCACTAGCCATACCAAACGCAAATCCCAAACAATCACAATAACACGATGTGAGGTCACATGGACATCATTAAGCTTATCTTCAGCTAAATTCACCAACAACTGGGCTTTGAATAAACAGTGTCGAGCTCCAGCAAACAAACTATTTCACGTGGAATTTAAATGCTTTTCACCTCCTGTGAGTCCTGTGTAGGAAACAAGTCGAACAGACGGTAGTATCGGAGTATTTTTAAGAATAAGTGATCGAGTTTCATTCTAAACGAGGTCGACTCATGTTCGCCGCCATTTYGTTTGCCTCTCACCTGTGTTTACACGCATGCACTTTGACACAGGGATCCCGCGCTGACCAGCTGTTTAGTCTGTGCAGGCTTCAATACAAAAATACAATTGATATCAAAACCATGTGCCCCTTCATTCCTTAAATTCTCTAACCCCCAGCTGACTGGTTTCTAGGTGGACACCCTTTATTTCACTGAGACTAATCTTGCCTGTAATGACCAAATTTTCTTCACACATTTTAGTAAAGTGAACCTTCGCAGGGGTGGATCCAGGATTTTGTTCAGGGAGGGATGCTGAGCACAAAGCTAACCCAGGGAGGGGTGCACCCCTTAGAWTCAAAGTGAAAAACAGTATGGGTTATTTTCGAAGTAGGGGCACAAAGTTGAACCAGGGAGGGGTGCACACACCCTGCACCCCTCCCCTGKATCCRCCCCTGCTCCATGCAGCTGCTGACACCTATATTAAAGGGACACCATGTAAAGTCCCGAAAGTGTAGGGGCACACTATAGCACTTTTTTTTAAATTTGAGGATATCTTTTCTTTATTTCTAGTAAAGTACCAAGATCATTAAGCTTACCTCAAAAAACATTTTGTACGATTCCTAAGAACTTAGCARCTTATCTCTTATTCCTAAAACTAATTTTTTAATCCCTTATTTCCAAAACTTTGTTAGACCCAAATATATCTTTTGTGTCGTGTTTACTCTACTATTTTTTCACTTTTGTTTTCATTTGAAAAACGGGAGGGACATACAGGTTCATAATGGGACGTGATGGTGTAGGCCAACGTCCCTTATCTCGTGATATAAARCTGGTGTTACATGCAAACGATTCGTAAACAGTGAGTGACTGAGGGAGTGTAGAGGGAGTAAACCCTTAAAAAACACCATGGATTTATCACCGAAATTCTCATTTATTGGTGTTGTACTTCTACTTTATATCCTCTGCACTTCAGGACTACCTCAGGAATATTCCAAAAAGGAGTTGTTTATAGGGTATCTTCGSCGATTTACTTCGCATTTGAAGCCAGAATTGGAATGTGACGCTTGCAAGGCTCTCTCAGAAGTTGCGCAAATTGCCTTTAAAACTAAACCAACTCAAAACGACATCGCTAAATTCCTCACTAAACTTTGTATTAAGCTAAAGATTGAAGATAACAGAGTTTGTACTGGCATTATTCAAGAATTTAAGGGAGAAGTCTTGACTGTTTTTGACGAGTTTTTTCTGAGTCCTGACGAAGTCTGCGGGTTGATATTCGGACCATCTTGTGCCAAGAAACCGAATCCTGATATTTTCTGGAACGTAACCTTTCCTAAAACTCCTAAACCTCCAGTTCGACCTATTCCACCACCGAAGGTAGGCAATTATTAATTTAAATTCATAAAAAGATTACTGAATGTTTTCCTTATATGAATCCTGTAAGTTACGTACACGTTATTTAAAATAAGACCATCTGTAAGAACAATTGCAAAGATCTTATTTTTATTCGAAACTAAATCACAAACCTTGTGTCTTTCCTTTCTTCTTTTATTCATTCTACCAGGAAGTTGGATTTTTTCTTYCTTTCTGTTTTTATATTTGTTTATTTCATGAACTCTACATTACAGTGGTTATACTGTTATTATGTCATGATCCCATGACACATCACCCCATATCATACCAACACATAACTGAAGTATGTCAAAAGTATTGAGCAATATATCATGTTGGTAATTCCTAACAATACCATAAAGATTCGTTTATTTCTAAGATATTTTTTTCAAAACCTGAAATTATGTTACAAAAGCATTGCGTTATCATGGCATTTTARAAACAATAGGTCCTTGCATGTTCAAGAGCATTCTTTATTGTTTTCATAAAGTGTGCTAAAACAAAACCGAAGGAAATAGATTTCTCCTTTAACAAGCTTTGGCTGAGTGATTACTCATTAAAAGACTAAAAATTGATCTTCGGAAAAAAAAGAAATTTATTGAACACTCCTGACCGATGTTTCTCCAGTAATTTGATCAGGGCTGTTTTGATTGTTTGATTCCATCCATTAGGGCATATCAATAAATCTGATCTAGTCATATGCCTTTCATGAGCTCTGGGATTAAAATACAAGTGTACATGTAGTTCAGAGATGAGATACCAGTTTAAAAAAAACACATTTTCTGTTTGCTAGTCATAACCTTATGAATAAATGTGGTTCCAGAAAACATTGATATCCTRGCTATATAAATTCATAAAATGACTCCATACCCACCAGGAACTTCCAAATTTTTTCCATACAAACCTCATAATTGTGCTCTTTCTCTAACCCCTCTCCCCTCCAGAATTTCCAGTTTCTTCCATGGGTGGGGTATGGATATTTCTGGAACTACACAATAAAATCATAAGAGGATTGGGTTTAGCTGTTGCATCTACACTGTAACGGTCTTTAAGGTTTAGTTATAAAGGAAGAAGATYGAGAAAAGAGAGCAATAACGAAGACCAAACGAACATGTGTTGATTCAACTGTATTGTAATCAAAAGACGACACACCCCCTGAGAGCRGGTTGAATTACAAGCTATCCTGAGTTACATAATGATTGTTAATTAAACAATATAGGATATCATAGAGTACAGTTGTCAATCCATCAAGGAGGCCCTATTATGGGAGGGGGGG